AAAAAAAATTTACTTTATTATGTTTATTATTTTTCCGTAAAAATGGCCCGAAGTATTACAATCGCTGACTGGCCTGTCGCCTACCCAGTCCACCCCTGGTTATACTGATTAACATTTAATTGCTGCATTTATATTAATGCAACGATCCAACAGTATAGAAAATTACCTATATAGTTCTAATAAAATCATAATTTTGTTTTATAATAATTACACAAAGTACACGATATAGGTATTGTCCATTTCATGAAATGGATGTCCAAATAATGTATTTTCGTCAAAATTCATGAACTGGACAAATTTCACTATCTGGATATCCAGTTCTTGTTCAAATGAGCGGTTTCGCTATGTGGATGCGACATATACATTTTATATTTACCTCGTGTAGTCGTGATCCATCCTGTTTCGTCACTATTTCCAATCGATAAATGAACATTATGTATAACATCAAATAACTCTTCATTATGTGCCTACATATAATATTTAATTTCGTTATTCTCAGATACTGGTACAATTAACTTGTTAATATCAGCAACTTTTAATACGCCATATTTTTTTTTAAAGTTTATAATCATTCGGTTTCTTTTTCTTTGAATTGTTCTTAAATTAATTTATGTGTAAAATTAATTGATAATATTTTAACTTGGTAAAAAATGAAGCATTTGAACCTTTTTTCGAGAAATTGTTTAAATCTTCATTAAACTTTTCTATATTCGAATAAGTAGTTAGGTACGTACTGAATCAATTAACCTGCACTATACAAACGATTCGTGGTTACTAAATAGTTCATTTTTGAGAATAGATAAAAGGCCAATTGTGGCACTGCACAATAAGCACTACAACTACATATAATATAACTATTATAAATCAGTAAATATAGTTATAATATATTATGTCACGTACACGCGTATAATATGTGGAAGCGGACATCCCAATTGAAAAATACGATAAGAACAAACAAACTATAGTAACAGATAATAATTTTTAGAATAATTTGACTTTATTTTAGCCACCTATGTTTTAAGATTTTTCAAATTTGATTAAATCATCTTATCCATTATCTATATATTGCCCAATATACSAAGGCATTGTATAAAATGCAAATTGTACACTTTAACCGTAAGATATAAAAAACACTTTTTTAAAAATAATTTTTAACATAGTTACTAAAATTACAGCTGTTAAAGCTCAAAAGTTACCTACATATAATATAATATAATAGTAAAATATTCTTGTAATAATGTAAATGATAGTATTTTGATTAGATCACAATTTATAAAGTTTATAATATAAATATACTGTACGAGGTACCTAAAATAAAGACGGTGTTTGGATTTTTCGGACTCGTGTAATTTGTATGTTGCACTTTTGAGAATCAAATCTATACATCTACTACGTCACCCGATCAGCAGATTCTCGGAGGCAATACATATTTATTGTTAAACTAAAAACAAATTTAAACACAAAAAACACAAAATACAAACTTAAGTGTAAACATCAAATCTTCTGGTAAACTCTAGCTGTGTAACACTCCTCCCAACAAACACCTCTCTTCATCCGTCTTCATCTCGCTCCGATGCTCCGAACTAAATTTGAAAACATTATGATATTTTATGAGAACAATATCTGAACGGAACGAAATATGCGAATTCATGTTATATACTAAAGTACCGTTTAAAGACTTCTACATTAATTTTTGGCTTATTTTATATTTTTTGTTCATTGAATATTACAACTTTTAATGGTTAATAGTCTCAACCGAATGTCGACGATTGGAGTTTTGAATAGATGATAGATAGGATAATATTATAAATCCACAGACCTTATACTTAGTATATATAATCACATACGTTTATTTCTGGAGCTACATATTATATTCAGTAGATATTGATGTATGTAATTGTGTTTTTAAATAATAAATGTTTTATTACAAACAACCAAATAATATGGAACTAATAAAATCGTTACCTATTTTTCGTAAAAATATACCCAACTTTTATCGAAATTTGAATTTGGTATGTAAACGTAATACAATGTAGTACAGATGTATTTTTTATATCTTTCGACTACTGTAAGATCAACTTATAACTGTATAATTCTTATATATAAATGTTATAATTATTTTCTACTACCTGTGATATATATGACAAATATCATTAATGTCAATATCAGCTGTAAAATGTATGTGTTTATATGAGTTTTTAAGAAAATATTTTTTTATTACCCTCGACAGCATGAGTCATTAAGCTTACAGCAAGAAAATAATAAATTACATACATAGTAAATAAAATATAATTGTTAACTAAATTTTGGTTTGAATAGATTTGCGGCTATTATGAATTGAATGATGTTGGCTATAAAATCTTTTTTGTCGATACATTGGCTCATTGGCATGATTATTTTATATAATTTTGCAGTATATTCACTGAACTATAAATTACAAACAGTAGGAAATGAATTTGTTTTTTTTTTACAATTTTTTTTATCTCTTCGAGTAAATTTATAATATTAAAATTATATGGAGACCCAAAGTCTAATATTTGTCATATTATTTACAGGGTTATACAAAATATATATAAATAATAAATAAATAAACTTTCAATACATTATGCGAGATAATCATTTTCAAAAATTATATTTATTTATTTATTCATCTTTAACATATACTAGGTACTACAAACTACAAAGCATTGCTGAGAAATCTAAATTGAACCACATTCATACCTATTTATCTCATTTTGAAATGATAAAGCATGTTTAAACCTTCGTCAAATATTTTTATGACTTCTTCAGTTTTTCATAACATATTTAGAGCTTTTAAATGTGCGTCAATATTTCACACATCCACACGGACTAAAAGTATTATACAAAATCTGTAAATCAATATAATGCAGGTTTTTCAGATGCAGAATGAATGCGCAAATATTATATATGTTATAAATGTTATAATATTTAAGAAACGAGTTCTTAATAGGTATGCTAAGAAAATATAAATTAATCATTAATGTGGAATGGAACGAGCTACTTTTAAAAAAGAACTTTCCCAAAACTGCCATGTACTGTTGTCTGTTACTAACAGTCTGTTATATAGTAGATATATTGTTGTGGTAATACCACGATACACTATAATCATAGACATATAAATAATAGTATCTGTGAGTGATACCACAGTGATAGTATTAAACCATGGTTATAGTGTTCTATGGTTATAGTCTTWTTTGTTATCAATGTTATCACAATCGTTTAATTGGGATTTCCTAACCTTCCATAAACTGATTATTATCTATATATCTCAAAATCTGTGCAAACTATAATCACTAGTCACAATTATCCATAAAAAAATATTAAATCATACATTCATAGTTCATACTATTGATATTAAGTTCTGTGCGCTTAATTTTCATTTAAAATACATTTAACAGGATAATTATTTAGCAATTTTTTAAGACATTAACATTTGGTAAGAACTAAGAATTAAAAATACTATTGCACTGAATTTAATATAAATATATATCGTAATTACACTTAAATTGAAATGTAATGAATTACCTATGTAGGAATTTTTAGAAATTTGGACTGATGTCTGCTGATAATAAAAGTGGGATTCCCTCCAACGAAGAAATCATAGAAGAACTCACTAAAGACTTGGAGAGTTCAGCCATTAAAACTGATTTTTCTGGTGATGATGGTTCTCATCACAGTGAATCAGATTCAGAGTTTGATACTAACGTAAATGAAGAAAATGAAGTTAGAGATGAAGATTACATTGATGACACACTGTTAAAAGAAAGAGATGATAAATTACCAGAAGAAAAAAAACGGGTTAGTAAATATTATACTACTATTGAATATGTGATAGACAGAAGTTAAAGTGGGAAAAAATTCCAGAGGGGACTAATGCCTCCATATAGTTTTAAGCGTTCCATATATAATTTTATGTATAATGTCAAATGTATAAAATCCTAATTTGTTAAAGGGGACGCTTTTTAACCGCTGTTAGAGGTAAGGGGACTGAGTCCTCCTGCGTCCCCCCCCCCACTTTAACCCCTGGTGATAGATCATAAGTATATAAAATAATGATGTACCATTTATCTTATACTCCATTATTAAAATAAAATACATTTTTTTCTTCTATTGTTTTAAAAATAAGTGCTTTATTGTTTGAATGATTTTAGGAGTTATTGCAAGAAGCTCTTAGTTTAAAAAACGAAGGCAACATCAAGTTTAAGAATCAAGAACATAAAGAAGCTTCTAAAATATACACAGATGCATTACGTATTTGTCCATTAATTTTCCCAAATTACAGGGCCATATTTTTTGCTAATCGAGCTGCAGCCAAATCTAATATTGTATGTTATAGTTTATTCCTTGTAAATATTATCATCTAGTTCATATTATTTATTTTACCTGCAGAATATAGAAAGTGCTATACAAGATTGTACTCGTGCTATTGAATTAGATCCTGATTATTTAAAGGCATATATTAGACGTTCTAAATTGTTTGAACGCAATGATAAGCTTGATGAAGCATTAGATGATCTTAAAAAAGTCCTTGAAATTGATCGAAATTATGCCGAAGTGGCATACAATGCTAGGGTAAGTAATAATTATTCATTATAATATTTTAAATACATTTTTTTTATATTTGTGTAGATATTGCAAGAAAAAATTAATGAACGTAATGAAAAATTGAAAACTGAAATGATGGCTAAACTTAAAGATTTGGGCAATATGGTACTAAAGCCATTTGGTTTATCTACCCAAAACTTCCAACTTAGTCAAGATCCAAACACTGGTGGATATTCAGTTAATTTTAAACAATAATTCAAATTCATGTTTTGTTACAACTTATCAATTCTCATTAGTTTGTACAAAGTTAATTATAAGTATATTATAAATAAAAACTAATTGGTGATAAAAACATATTTATTTGATCAACTTTTTACTGTTTTAAAATAACAAAAATTAAAAGTTAAGTAAATGCAAAATTAGGTATGTTAAGTCAAACAAAACCACACAAAAAAAATAATAATAATAATAATAATAATAATACTAACATAACAATAGTTTTCTTCCATAGACCATAAGAATGCAAGATTCAAAATATTTGAATGAAAAACCATTATAAGATTGACATTTTGTTTGTATGACTATGAATTGTAATAGTATATGTATTACACTTAAATATTTTTAGCCAATTTTCACATAAAGAATTCTTCCGTCGAAACGGATAATGTGAGTCATGTTCTGGCCACTATGGGTTGATCTAGCATAGTAATTTCTATCTGTTGATAAAGAGTTAAGGTAAAGTACATATTTCAATATGAGGTTAAATTTCCAATTTTTCTAATTTATTTAAATATTAAATACAGTCAGTATCATCTATAACGACAGCCGAGAAACTGTAAAAAAATATGTTGTTATAACTAGATGTTATTAATATACATAATCAGGATTTTGAAATTAACTTCATTATACCCCATAAGTCATTATAGACATAAACGACATAACATTCAATACCAATCATGCACCATATATACATAAAATATGTATATTAACTATTTACCAAGATGATGGATAAGGCTGGCATTATATTCCAAAGTTTGCTGTACGATGCTCATTTTATAACATAAGTTTCAGATATTTTTGAATCTGAATAAAAATGTTATTCTACATTTTATGTTCATTTTTAAAGCATCAGACACTAACATTTAGTTGTTTTGAATTGTATTTCAATAATTTATTACTTATGTTTACCTGATCAAAAATTATTAGTCACAATTTTTTAGATTGGATATATAAGATGTAATAATTGAGATTACAAGTGGCAATAGGAAATTGAAAGAAAATAATTATTTTTTGGTCCGCATAGACTTGCAATTGAGCAGTCCCGTAAAACTTATAGTTTGATAAAAAAATATAATTGAAAATAACTGATCTGCATCAACTTTGGTATACCTAATTAACATTATTCACCGAATCGCTTGTATTTATAAGAAACCTATATTATATGAAAAAGAAAAAATATACTACCATCAATATTCTAATTTCAATAATTTATCAGCAAAAATAAAATGTTGACTCTGTTTAGCAAAGATTAAATGTTAAAAATAATAAATCACATTTTCAGGTAGCTCACAAATAATAAAAGTTATTAATACAGATAGAACGTTGATGACTTTTGAGTTTCTTTTCCTTAGATTCTAGAATCTCATGCTATTTTAGCTAGAAATTAACATATTTTTGTTATATTTTTACATAATTCTTTAATATTACAGGTTTTGAAATAAAATCTCTTTCTTGAGGTATGAATGGAAAAATAATGGAATGCAATGATTGTTGATATGGTGACAGTTGTTACCCCTTTATATTTTTTATATATATAATTTATAATTTCATGGGCTCCAATACTTATGAAAGAAGTTTTATTTCCCTAGAGTGTAATAATGGGTTTACACCCTCTCTTGTGATTTTTTTTTTCTAGGATTTTAGTTTTTGTACAACAAATGGCATTTTCTCAAATTTTTTAAAGAAAATATATAGGTATGTATCAAAAAATTATTTTATTATTATTATTAAAAGGTTTTTGTTGCGAGTAAATTTAATGATAGTTCATACATTTTTTTTTTTAACTGTAAGTTAAATTAAAAATTGGAATTTATTAATTTTTTAGGTCATATTTTATATTTTTTAGGACATTGAAATATTTTTTGGATAATTTTTAATACTTTTTAAGATCATCAACATCATATCTCCAGTGCCGGGTTAAACTATATAGCTGCCTTGGGGAAAATTAAAAATAGACGCCCTTAAGCAAATTATAATTACCAATATATTTTTTATTTAATGTTGATCCTCAAAAATTTACCGCCCTGGGGCAATGGCCACCCCTTGTCCAATGTAAAACACGGTTCTGCCTATTTTTAGTTATTAACTAACAATTGCATAGTAATAATAATAATAATAATAATAATAAAGGATACAATTCTTAACCCTCGTTCAGCAGGATTGGTAAGCAGCAAACCTCTTGGTAAATAGACCATTTCATTTTGTTCAACTATAAATTTTCCAACTTTACGTAAACACTAAAAATGAATTAGAAAATCCATTTAATAATAATATTCTAATACCTGCAAAGAAAATGATTTATTATTTATTTACTTTTTCATAATGAGTATCTGCGCACAAAAACATTGTATACACAGTGAAACATGCAAAACAGCCTTCGCAGTATGTCTTACATGATGCCTTTTCAGCTTCGGCAAAATATGTATTCAACTGATTGATTGTATATTCAAAAACTGTTCGCTCAATCTATAATCAAACATTATTCATTAATTTAATAATTATATAATAAAATCAAACTTTCAATAAGATTCATACTTTATTTTCAAGTCCTTGTGGGAAACTTGTCATAAACTTTACAGTTGTGCCATCTGAATAGTCTCGTTGAACAAATACTTTAGCATATTGAGGCCCTTGAGTCTGACTGGCTGTATTTCCTTGAGACGACCTTATTGTTGGTGGAGACATGGTGTATAGAATATATTATGTCTACAAAGTTAATGCTCTCAGCCTATATAGGTACTTGAGAAATGTGAACTAGTTATTATTATTCGCTGACTACTGACTTTGATTAAAAAATGAAAAACTAAACTGTATTGTGGCAAGTTATGTACTTGATTTTCATACCTTAACAAGGCAATATAGTTGTAATTTATTTTGGATTTTCTCAAAGTAAAAACTACCTATATAATTTAAAGAATAAATGGGTAAAGTATTTATTGATGCTTTTTAAAAAAGAATTTTTAATTATCGAATGATTGGAATTTGGATCAACTCAACTGCTAATATAACTGTAGTACAACACAAAATATACTGTACAGACGTCCTATATTAAAGTTATTACTCTGAAATTTGTGAAAGATACACTGATAACACTAACAATAATAAAAAGTGATAACAAATTAAGAAACAAACAGTTGAGGGTCAGTATAAAATATAAATTCTAGGTATAGATACTTTTTTTAATTCATGGTGAATGTGAGACACGATCTAATACAGGTGAACTGTGAACCCAGTTAAAACATGAACAATCGAAATACGTATTTCAATAAAAAATATTGCAAAATGTTTCTTTCAAGTTATATTTGACACACTCAATCGATATTTTATCTAATAATCAATACCTCTCTCATAAATAGAAAACTTCCGAGACCAACACAATTAAATCAACATGGTGAGTGAACAGTGACATTAATGTAGTAGTAATATTATGAGTACCTTTCTCAGGTTTATCGATTTGCAGCTCATGAACGTGTGTGATCCGATTTTCAATGCCAGTATACAATTGGATGGCAGCTGTATATCTCGAGAAGACTATTCTGTAGAAAATCTCATATCACCAGATGCGGAATTACGAAAAAGAGGATTTCTATGCGAAACATTCATTCGACCACCTGTGAGCTTAACATTCAGTTTTCCATTTGCATTTGACATTAAGTATGTGGTGATAGGCACACGGGTGGGTGGTCAGAAGTCCTCGGGATTTCAGATATTAGCTGGACGCAGTGGCAACGTACAAAAAATCTGTTCCATGATTACTGAAAAAGAGACAATATTGTTTCATGATAATAGTATAGATTTATCCGACTTTGGGAACGATTACGACAAATGTTGTTTTAATATATCGGCAAGTAGAAATATCAGATCAGCTGAGAAGTTATCTGTGCGTATTTTCAAGACAGCAAATTCTATACCAGCAATAGGCAAATTGGAAGTTTGGGGAAAGATTTCATATGGTGTACCAAAAGAAATCCATCAATCAATAATGCGTAATTGGGAAGAAAGTAAAAGACCAAAACAGATACAAAAAAAAATTTGTAACGGACAACCGATCACAGAAAATAATTCTGACATTTTTGCTATGTGTGATGACTTTTTAGATTCGATTACTTATGAAGTAATGACATGTCCTATGGTTCTACCTTGTGGAAAATATGTTGACAGTACAACAGTAGAAAAGTGCATCAAACATGATACCATGTATGGACGTACACCTTGTGACCCTTTTACTGGGATACCATTTACAGATAAATTAAAGCCAATGCCTGTGCCTGAATTGAAAGGACGAATTGATTCGTTTTTAATAAAACACGCTGATGATGAAAATGTCAAGTGTATACCACGTGCAGTGGGTAAACATAGTTTAAGTTTTTACACAGAACGACATACTAAAAAAATCRAAGTACAATGTAGTACATGTTACGAAAATTGTAATTTGTATAATTTACCTTGCAAACATCTGCAATGTAGAAATTGCCTAAAGACTGAGAGAAATATATGCAATGTTTGTAACAGTAAATTTGATCGGAATCAAGTAGAAAAATATCATAAAAACCATTAGTATAGAMAAAATTTTATCATAACATAGATCATTGATTACATTTATGATTTTCTGGTCATTCCTTCAAAGAGGTACTAGACGACCAGTGAAAGACAACTCTTCATCTATTATTTTAGTTTCTTATTTACTATTTTTTTAAACAACATACATTGTACATTATGTGTTGATTTTATTAATCTGATACTATTGCATATTATAATATATGGCCTTTATTGTATTACAAAATAATTGTGAATTACTCAAAATCACCCCTTAAAAGTATTAATTAAAACTAATTTTTTTTTTTTAATTATAGTTATAAAAAAATGTGATATTTGTATAAATATTATTTAATTAAATATTTGAATTTGTTGTGTATGAATTGTTTTAATTATGAGTATGGTCGTGAAAACTACTAAAATCATTGCCATAACATGTTAAACGCTGATGTCAACACTTGGTTTACATGAGTAATGGTGCCTGTGGCCGACAGTGTGATGTTGACATGGTAACTTATTTTGTATTAAGTTTTTATCAGGAAAAAATAGTTTTACAAATTTGAAGTTTTCATCCATTTACTATCTTATTGACTATTTCATTATATCTACCAATTTTAATTCCATTAACTACCGGTAAATTCATAGTGGTCACTAGCGCACATATAAAATCGAAATCGGAGTAGAATGTTTTAAGAAAAACAGATACCCTAGTCAAATCTTTAATGTCAAACATTTTTGTCTGTTCTAACTGTAACTGTGTATTACTGAAGCATCTTGTTCATTGGAAGTAGTTACACTTCACTGATATCAGCTTACGTCTGCCCAAAAAGTATTGATCAACAGGACGCAATGTCAAAGAAGGCAGTTGCAAAATTAAATAAGAATATAAACTACAATATTATCTTGTACAGATAGATCTCAAATACACTAAACAATTCTAGCTGGGGTTTAAATCACTCTACCACGTGACTAGAACGACTTTGCGATGCTGTAATACTTAAGTATCAACCTATAACAGAGGTATTCATACCGTGCGTCGCGAGAGTTTGCAAAGGGAACCGTGTCAAAGTACAGAAAATCAACATCATACCTAGGTCTTGTATAAGTATTATAAATATTATTTGCAATCATTATGGGAATGAAAAAGACACACCTTACGACGCAATCATTTGAAGTTTGATTTCTAGTCTAAAGTTACTGTAATTATTACCCATATAACGTATTAGCCATATTGTATCCGTGTGTTGTTTCAATTTTTTCATTATAATTTGGGAGCCGTCAAAATATTGGGAACACCCAAAGGAGGCGTGGGATGAAAATGTTTGAATACTTCTGACCTATTATATTATACTTATTAGTTATTTACTGTTGTCTGTCATACATCTGCAAATAGGGTCAAGTTGCAGTAAAAATAATAAATATTGTTTGTATAAATTATTTGATATGATAATTATGTAATTTGTTTTACATAAATATTTAATCATCAACAACAATATACAATGTTTATTATAATTTGTATGATATTTTACATTTTTATTCATATACTATTGCTTAATAAATATATTACTTGTTACCGTAAACAATATGTATTAACTCATTTAGTTTGTTCTGCTATTGTTACACAATAATAAATGAAACTCAATAACTTCATCACTCTTATATCCGTGACGACCGTGACAATAATCAGGAAGGTTGTTTTAGATGTTAAAACACCTCTAACACCCTACCCCTATTGCTATCCATCCAAAAATGAATACTATTATTTAAATTTGTATACAATATTTCATATGTCAATATAGAAATTTAATTCTTATTTCATATTTGATATCATTAATATGAAGATTAATGACTACAATGTAGACAGTCCCAAACCAATAGTTCTTAGAAAAAAAAAAATATTTAGGTAACTATGATCAATAGTTAAATTATTAAGAAATTCGCTATACCAAACCGGTGTAAAATAATGCACCAAGATGTTTTTGGACATTTACATGGTTCATTATTCCCGTACAGGGTAATCTTGAACTGGGGCTTAGCCTAGCAAATTTCCATTATGTGACTGTGACAAGAATATTATGAATTTAAATTATTTGGAAATTAACAAATTTTTATTTCTAGCCTTTTGCAAACTAAACATAAAGTCTATGAACAAGAGCCATGAAGCAGTAATATTATTAATATGATAGGTAATCAAAAATATTTTCAAATATTCGGGCATTTATGTTTTTGAGTAACAATTTTATCAGTGGCAGACCCAGGAACCAAAATATGCACATGTCTATGTCCACCATAGCTAGTAAAAATAAGACAACTATTGAGTTATTACGACGTAGAATTACAATTAAACATAGCATACATACTTACGTCATACAGAGTATATAGCTGATATATTTTTATGGCTTGTGTCCTAAACCTCGTTGTCTTATTCATTAGCAACTCTATGTTGATTCGGAGGTGCAAAACAAAAAGTATATTAATTTTATTATATGAGTTGCCCAATACACACAACATGGTGAAAGGAAAAATAGGTAATCAAAAAATAATGAAAAAAACTGTTCTACATGCTTTTTTTTATTTCGCATATCATCTCATAAAACATTATCATTTACAAAATAAATTTCATAAAAATCTGAAAAACCTTACATGCAACATTGATAAATTTGATTAAAATAGAAACTCCTATGATATGTATATATTTCTATAAAACATATACACATAATATATTTATAAATAAAAATAAAATTCATAATGTCAAGCGTATAATATTAATACAATATATTATATAAAATATAGTTTATATAATATTATAAACATTGTGTTTTTCGTCTTCTAATTTAAAATATGTTTTTTAATAAAATAAGATTGAAATAAATTAAAATTTATAGCATTAATTCGTAATGTGTTTAAATGAAAAGAAAAAATATAATTTTACCCTATGGCACATGAGCCTGAAATACATCAAACAGTAATTAATAAATTGTTTTGGGAGGCAGTTAAGTGCTCATCTAAAAACAAAATTTTTTTCTAAAATCTACAATCTACATTTATAATATGTATAAATATACATATATTTATAATTATTTTATAAATTAACTACAAACGTCTAAAATAACAAGAAAAAACAAAAACACGACTATTTAAACGTTGAGATTCGTAAACAACAAAATAAAATAAAGTAATATAATAATGTATGTATATGATATATATATTTAGCATATTCGAGAGATTGTCTAAATTATTTAGGCTCTTAAGTACTTACAAAAATATTATAAAAACTTAATAATATATATAAATATATATTCTTTCACACAATATATAATATTAAATATATCTCACTAATAAATAAATTATAGTGAGTATTATATTCTATATTTGTTTAACATAATTCTATAATAACAACAAAAAAATGTAGAACAAACTGGCATGGGTCGATTTTGGCACCTGGCATATGGTATTATTAAAGATATTATAATTTTAATTTATTTAATACTGAAAATTTTCTCTACATAATATCGAAAAATTTTTCTAAAAAAAATTAACATTTTATTGCACGCTATATATAAAATATTAAATAGTTCTTATAAATAATAACAACATAAAAAAAATATATTTATATTTTTTCAATTTTCTTATTTTATATCCTTGTTTAAGCTAAACAAATTTGATAAGTAGAGTTGTAAAAAAAGTTTGTTCAATATTCTTTTAGATTTTTAATTATCGTATACTTTGAGTTATTAGACCATTATGGTTCAATGTTCAGGAAAATAAACAAACAAAAATACTAAGACTAGCKACGACAAGCGTATAACGAATGTCGACATCAATACCAATACAAACAGATATGTAGATACATTTGTTTTTAAGGCATCAAGGGGCTCAACAAAAAAATCTATTTAGTCTTTAAATTGTAATATTACGAAACAACATTAAACACTATAATAATATAAATAAAACAAATATTATTATACGAAAATGATTAGACAGACAGATAATTGGTTAGACGAATAATTTCAAGTGCAACATTGCGTTTTTAAGTGTGTATATATGTGCGCAGAATGATATTGTTTAGTTGTTAATTATAGTTCCGTCTGGCAATCGTCGCACTTTGGCCGCAGGCTGCATTTTGTGGTGTTAAAATAAAGGTCCAGTATGTTAGATCTCCGCAAGCCTTTTTTCGAGGTTAAATAAAAAATAAATAAAAAACATGTTAGTAATGAAATATTTCAAAAAAAATAGCAGCTAAAAGTATTATGTTCTATTATTGYATTAGTATAAGTATGCCGGTGACAAACATAAGTGTTCTGTCAAGTGTATTTCAATAGTTATTAGTACAATATTTTACTACCATATGAATGAAAAGCATTATGACGTATAATACATATAAGTAAGACAAAAAAAAACTTTCATATTATTTTATTACTTAACCAGTAATGTAAGTTTTTTTTCATTCCACTGTTTGTATATATGCATTAAATTTAAATATTATAGTGCAAAATAAGGGATGTTTCGTAGTAATCGTAAATAATTTTGATACATGACTACCTTCACCAATAAACAAATCTTCGATTTTGCTGTTAAATACAATATTAGAACACAATACGTGAAAAATATACTTAAATATGTTAAATCTACAAATTAATAATATATATGTAGCTCCTATTCCTATATCATACTGCCATAACAAGCAAAAAAATATTTAAAATGTATATAAATAAATTATAAATGAATATATAAATATTTATTTAATATATTATATGCAGGTATATAATAATWATAGTATACCTACATAAACAAATAAATAAATTATGTGAAAAAATAAATAAAAATATCACAACCGAAAAAAAGGTTTAGAAAAAAAGAAGTATAAATATAACTGTACGCGTGGAGGTCATTGAATTTTTTGAAAAACTTAAGGATTTTGAAATTTGATAATTGCGTTTGATTATACCCTATAAACTATGATTGTCTAACCCTAAATTAAAAACGAATAGCAACTGACCTTTCAGATTCAAAGAACTTTTTTTTTTAATTTTGTTTTTTTTTTTTTTAATTGACAATCGAAGTGCCAACCCTCTGATACGGATGATCCCTGATCTGAGTCAAATGCCTTCTTTGTTTGGCGACCTGAGCCGCCGCCGCAACCGCGGCTGCTGCACCTGCTATAAACATATTATTTCTATTTATTTATTGAATTATAATGTATTTATAAAGACACCGTTATAGAGCCAGGTTCCATTTTAAAACGTCGACCCCCTACAACTTGTACAAAAATAATAGTAATTATAATTAAATATATATATATTATATATATGTATAACAAATTCTAAACATAGATGTGTACTAAACAATCACAATAAAAATATACATAACATTAATTATATAATCAGCCTGAATATTTTTTTATAATAATATAATAATATAATTTAAACATAATTAAAATATTAAAAGTGTTTGTCATGGTATTTCATTCTTATCAAATTAAGGAACTTTAGGTGTCAGAAGTATATATTCTTCTTATGAGTAAAAAACCTGTCTGGTGGTTCTTCTTGGTCCCTCAAGTATTTTGTTAATTTGGGTCCTAATAATTTTAATATTTTGTTTTATATTTGTTAAAACTTTAGTATTAACTATTAATGTTAGAGTCACACCATGGTTTACATTATTCTAAAAATAATGTAAAAATTTGTCCCGGTTAGTTTAAAATATTGACTAAGAAGATATATGAGAAATATTTTTTAATCTACTTATTCCAAAACTATGTAAAATAATAAAGATTTGTTTAAATGTTATTACTTATTAGAATTGTTTTATCAGTTGGAATACAAATTCTATGATCATTTTTTTTTTTTTCAATAGGAAGTACTTGAGGAGTATTATTAGGAAAAATAATTGATTACCGTATTAAATTTATTAGTACACACCTAGTTTTTTTAAAATTATATTTTAGTCGAGTTAGACTAATAATTGAACTAACTAAACGCAAAAGAAACAGAGATAAAGAAGGGATATATATGTATATATAACTAAAATAAAATCTTTAAATAATTACTATAAAAAATTAAAGCTTTGTGTAGTAAAATCGATTAAAAGCGCGCAAAAAATTAAGGAATCAAAAAAATAATAATCATAATCATAATAAAATAAACAAGATAAATAATATTATATAAATAATAATAATAATAATAATAATAATAATAATCATAATAATAAAAAAATAATAATAAGGAATATTGAAATAAAATTAATTCCTAAAATTATACATAAATAATAAATAAAATAGCACCTCACAAACATAAAAAAGAAGGGTTGGATGGCCAAATACTAAGGATGGTACTAACGTTGATTTGGCCAGTGACGGTAGGTGAGCCCTTGTAGTTCTGGAACCATTAGCATGTATCTGGCCGAACATTCTTTTAATATAATAATAAAAATAAATTAAAATTTAAAAAATATCTCAAGAACAGTTTGCTTTGAAAAATAAAAAATACTGATTAGGTTCATATGTGTTTTTTTCAGTCTTATTAAAAACTAATAATTGTTTAGTGATATTTGAACAGGGGCATTTTATTGTAGCTTTAAATTATTTTCATCCTGAATTATGATTTCTCAGTCTCCCAAGCGCATTCAATCATATACATCATATAAATATATATATTATATATATATTTATATATAAATCTTTTTTTTTTAACAAACAAACAACAACGCACCCGAGTGATCGGCAGGAGTATATTCTGTGATCAATGGTGATCCAGCCAATGCATAGTTGGCATAATCAGCATATGGTGTATATATGAGACCAGCTGCAGCTGCTGCTGCTGCAGCATGATGATGATGTTCAGCAGGAGACAAAAGTTGAGGTGCACCAGGATTTCCACCACTGGTAGTTATGGCAGTTGGGATACGTGGTGATAATATAAGTGGTGCAGTTAATGGTGTGGCTGTCTGTGGTCGCAAAGTTGTGGCTAAACCACCCATACCATGTGGCGACAAAAGCCGTTGTGTCTCAGCGGCTGCAGCAACAGCCATCCTACGCCACTCCTCATCACAAGCTAAAATATCCAAGTGTTAATATATTGTGACTAAAATACTAAATAAATTATAATTATTATTGGCATAGTACAGATCAATTTACCTGCTGCTGCTAAGGCTTTAGCGTTTGAGTCCCTATATGTACCGTTGATAATAGCAAGTTCCATCAGTTGGCGTTTCTTCAATTCATCTTCTCCATCAGCCTAAAAATATAATTAGGACTTTAATATATTTAAATGTAATTGAATACAAAAAACATGTGTAAAAAAAATTTAAACTAACAGGTACAAGGAGCCTTTTCACTTCATCAATTGCTCTCTTCAACTTGAGCTTAGCACGGTTTTCAGTGTCTTCAACGGATATCAAAACATGAAGCTCTTCACTCAAATGTTCCCAGTTGGGTTTACCTCTGTTTTGTTCCTCCTTGAAACATACATAATTACAATTAATTGTTAAAACGCTTGAAACTATTCAATTTTTATTTACTTACGATTCCTGTATGAAAAACTTCCGATAATCGTGTTAGCAAATAAATGATATTTATGCATAATGTTAGACAAGAAAAATCAATACAACATTTAACACTAAATTTTCGTACATACCTTTTTCTTATCGCGCATTGAACCCTTTCCTCGAACCATAATCTTGCATCCGGTCTCTAATTCTAATTGTTTTGCAGTCATACCTCGTGGGCCCAATATCCTTCCAACAAAGTTGAACTAAAAATCAACAATACAAATCTAATGTTAAAATAGTATTTGAGGATTAGGAAACATTTAAAATGACACACATAACAGGTATAAAAAAAATAATAATATGCTAATAGTTAGTCACAAATTGGCAAATCACAGAAATATTAGAAATTAATAGATAATAATATGTATAATTTTTATCGAACTATTTTATATTTATTTATTTTTTCATAATCCCTACTCCCAGTTGTAATGCACAATTCTAACTTTGTATTTCGAAGTAAATTTATYACGTTATGAATTCGTTTCAACGCTGTTTAAATAAATAGAATACAGATACCCCCATGTGGCCATGTTTAACAATATTATATTGTGTGTATTTTGATAACAATTTAAGAATAAAATGTAAAGCGTAGATTAATACTAAGGTATAATACTATTGTAACAAATCTACAAATCAACAGATGATAACGACATTAGAAACAATTGAAACGACCACGACGTTAACATCGTGTCTATACACGAAACTCGTCACGATATCGATGACTAATCTCTCAACGAGTGTGAGTACGTCAATTTCTTTTACCGGCGTATTTGAATCATCAATTTTTGTCTTTTCGACACACACCATAAATTTATTAAAGTATAATATAGTAGGTAATAATAATCGTGGTGTGCATATTATTACGATTATAAACAGTTGAGTGGTATCCACTCGTGGCTATTAAAATATTACTAATTTACTTAAATATACAAATGACATTTTAAACACGCTAGATTTCCTTTTTACGACCGTCGTATATGAATATTATGCAGCAATATACTACTAGGTTGGTAAGGACATTTTAAACATATGTATAGTGTGCATACACACGGACCAGTTGCGCTTAAAACACAATTTGTCAGGATCGATGTACCAATAATAGCGCTTCTTAAATTTTACATTTATATCATCAGTAAACCAATTATTTCACTTATCGACTTACCTTTTAATTTAACCTTAAGGCATATATTTTGTTCAATCCAATGTTGAAGGATATAATTAACATTGGGTTATCATACATTACACACAATACACAAGCTATGTATAATAATTGAAAATTAATAACTTATACTATACTGAATACCAAGTGTCTGGTTAAACATTTTATGTTTTCAAAAACAAAAAATAAAAATTCTTTCGCATTTTAAATAAATTAAATGTTAATAGCTGATTTGCACCCAATATTCTATAACAGTAACACAACTTTCATGAAACGCCATTACTCATGTATAACTAACACATACAACTATAAAAGTATTGATTTCAGTGATACCTATATACAGATTACTGAAGATATAAAATTTTCATTTTTGCAAGTTATATATTTTAATCCTTTTTAAAGCCTAATCGGTTCGTTGCAATGCATCACAATTCACAATACTTTATATAACATGGGATAACACGATGATGATGATATAGGTACTAGATACTTTTAAATGCACAACTTTGTTAATTATTATGTGTATTGATTTCATTTAAGTGAAGTAACTAAGTTGTACAATAATAAAGAACATAATGAATATTATTTTTATATATTTTTAATTTTAACGAGCAGTGTTTTATTAAAAGCAACGGCTGTTATCTACAACCCTGAAAATATATCCAAGTAAAATAATTGATATATAAAAAGTTGATTTTAAGCACAATTGGTAAACTCTGATATACTGAAGTACTCACTACTCACTGTTTAACTACGACCGGCGTACATAAAAAGTTGAAAAATTATTGATTCGGAATCGTATTGTATTGGATTTGGAAATATATCTCATCGGAAACACATATTAATGAAACGGCATTTTTATTCGATCACTTTGTTATTATATCTGTATGAAATATTTTATGTCAGACACGAATTTGATAGGAAACGTCATGTTTTTTACAACATTAGTTTTGAAACAACACATTATTTTCAGATTTTCCGACCAATTATTTTCCAACAAATCTAACCCACCCCAATACGACTCACGACCAACAACTACCAAAATATAGTGATAAGATAGTTATGATTAAAATACGTTTATAATAAAAATATTGTTTGAAAAATTCACGAAACTTCAAATCATGTGTTAAACATCGTCGTCGTTATCTATTTTTATTTTCCTTTGTTCACCACTGGATGAAAAAATGGACGATGACAATAATAATTAATAATAGACCTACAGAGCCTGCCTGTGCATTAACTATTATTTTATGGATGGCACTCCTCTGTAGGCATGCGTAACTGCGGTTACACCTCGTCCTCTATAGTATTATTATGGTACTACGACATTCTTAACACGGTTTAAAATATCATATTATGTTAAGCCATGGTTATTACGGCATCAGAGATTGCAGTCTTCGTAGTAGGGGCAACAGTATATCGATCAACAAGAAAGCTAGAAGTTTTCTAAAAAATCTAAATCTAATTTTAAATATTTAACTTGTTTTCCAAAACATTTACAGCATTTATAGCACTGATTTAAAAAAGTTCTAATATACACCTAATACGCATTTTCATACTCGTTTCTTTAATTTTTTTCGAAACTATTCGGCATGAAAACGCTCATCGATAATATATATTGAGTAAATTACACACTAAACTCACTCAGTCGCCTATACATACATATTCTATAATCTATTTATCTATAATTCTTAACATTATATTTAAACGAGATAAAAGTATATATAACTAATATAAGAAATTAAAGTGTAGGTACCTAAAACTTCGTGACCCATGCTACATACATTAGTTAGGTATTAGTTATTATATTTATCTATTATACATGTGTAATATTTGCAAATATAAAGCACAACCCTGCAGTTAAGTATGAGTGTACGACTAATGACGCACCACAATATCAATATTATATGTTTCATCGAAATTGTTATTGTACAACCCGAACGATGATAATTAATTAAGGTATACTACGATGACCTCGGCAGATCCAATGTAATAGAAAGTCAATAATTATGCATAAAACCACTAATTTATTGACGGAACATGGCTACAGAATATTGCACATTATCAAAATAATAAAACAAATTAAAAAATACTGAGATACACATACACCACGACAATGAGATGCATTCCACCATAATATACGTATTACCAATAATAATAATAGTATTATTTAATATAAACAGTGGATAAACTATATCACAAACATTTCAGAGATATAAAATATGAATTTCAGGCTATTAAACTATCCACGAAACCAAATTCAGCACTAATTCGAAAATTATACAATGAAATACAAAAACATAATCAGACATTCTTCGAAGTGACGGCTGCGTGTACCCCCCAGGTTTGGCGCAATTCACGAGTTCACAATGACCCAAAGTGACAAGCTAGAAAAAAAATGATAATTCACGCGAAGAGACTATACAATTAATTTTACCGCCGAAGCCCGTTAAGGATAAATAAAATATATGATGGATATAATATGTTATTATTAATTATTGTAATATATATATATATAGTTTAACAACTCGATAATAATGGGCATCACCACAAATCACAACAATAGTTTGCGGCCACAAAAAATAACTAACTACCACACATCATAATAACATAGACGTTGAGCTAATGAACCGTTTTTGGCCAAACCCGAATAACAACGGTACCAACACCAAAAAAGGATTAAAACCCCTCTTTTTATAGGCGAGCCAACACTCTCTTATTTTCCCTCTCTCTCTTACTGCACTTTAGCTCTTCGTAAACAGTCGCCGAGCGTATGTTATAACTTAAAATAATAATTTATGCAAATTTCATGTACACGACAGTTTTACACAAACGTATTTGTCACCATTCATTTTTATTATTAATAATAAGAATGAACGGAGAATTGCTAAGAAACGGAAAAACGATTTTGGATAGAAAAAAATTAGAAACAACACAGGACATGAGGCAATGGCGGCAGACTGCGAGGGCGCCATTGCTCGTTGGCCATATTCAGCATTGTCACGATCCTAAAAAAGAACCCGACCATATGGTCCTCTCATGTTTTCTCTGGCACGTTTATGATCTTTAACATTTCATATATATATAAACAGAAATATGTGTGTTTGTGTGTGTATGTAGACGACGACGATTTAAAAGACGAAAATAATGTATAAACGTATGTATATACATTAGGTAGTARTATATGGAAATTTAATAGCGTGGGATTACTCATTTTGGAAATGCCATTATTATGCCAGCGATATACACACATCATCCATTGGATTTTTAATAAAATTATAATAACGACGATGATGAYGAGATGCAAATCATACTTATATAATAGAATACATCTAAAACCCCGCATTGGATATATTGATGTGAGTAATGTTCTTTTTCTCTTGTCTCACTCTAACTCCTCTCATTCACAAATACTATTCGCTATAATGCCTAAATCGCGTAGGTCGCAATTGTAGAGTAGACAAAATAAAAATAATAAATAAAAATTAGAAAAATGTATATACGCCACCGTTGTCCATTAATGGGCATCCACAACCGGACATGTCTTTCGGACCATCCCATTCAATCTGTTGAGTATTACAAATATTATATTATTATATATACACGTGTACCAAGGACATGCCAAACCCATTCTACTAAGTATGTAACATTTAAGCTCTGTTTTCCTCCCTGTCACTATATAAAAGAATAAAAAAATATGATAAATTGATCAGCGTATAAACGGCGATCGATGTCATTATTTTTTACCTGAGAAAAAAAGTAAAAGAATATATAAAAATCGGAATAACGTAAATTACACTTTTCTATCAGAAAGTGCTTACGAGTTACGAAAGTAAGTTTACAAAAAGTTTACAGTTGATAAAAATAGAAAACCTTCAATAAAATTATTAAAGACAAATTCCCTCACACATTTGAGAAAATTTACCAGTTTGAAAGATACTTTATAATAAATCTATAGTAGGTATAAGTTATATACACATAATTATAAACTAGGTATATAGTAACTACAATCTACATTTGGTAAAATAATTAAATACGACGATAATGTTAACAGCCAACATTATTAAGTTTATCAATTTATAGGTAAGTACTAAGTAATGAACTAATGGCAAATACATAAAACATATAATAACTATATACTTATTATTAAGATTGAAAATAAATCGCATACAACAATGTATTTATTTATTTCCTTCAAATAGTAAATAGATATAGTTACTTTTCTGAACAAACTAAATGATTATTGGACAATAATTTCATATTATATTCTATTATTACATTATATAATATACGCAACAAAAGTACAAGTTCTGCATTATTCATAAAATAAATTGTTGAAAGCTTGGTTACAGTAATAATAAATAATAATTTTTAAATTTATAGAAACGTTAAAGAATTTAAATTAAACGTGTTCGAAATAATTGAATTCTTGAAGAATGCAATAAAAGAAAACATATAGGTACCTAAGTGGCTCAATGGCGTATACATTTTTTTTASATTGATATACCTAACCTATCATATTGTATTATGACCGGATCAGCAGGATCTATAATAGCGTAAGTGAATTCGTGGTAATAGTAAATAAAACATACAGTAGAATAATTGTGCATAAATTTATAGAAAAAATTTCAAATCTTATAATTATTGTTTTAAAAGCGGCACGTACACAGTTTACACCAGTCAATATTTTACTACTATGCTATAAAACCATAATAAATATGAATTTTAATTTCATCAGATGGTTGTTGTGTTTCCCGAATTATTAATTTACGGTACCTTAAATATAGGTAATTTCATACGGTAAAAAAGGGTAAACACCGCCGCCGGCACAAAGAGAATGCCCGTTTCTCATAGTGAGGGCTTATTTTTTCCTAACGAATCACCGCAACAGACCACAATCACTATGAGCGGCCATCTTTGACTCACACTCAAAACAGTTTGTGATCAGTTTGATCATTACTTATGCCACTGAATACATTTCCTACGCATCTACTGCCTTCACAATAATATTGTTGATATAATTAATTAAAAATATTTTAATACATTATGTTTTCAAAAGAACSCATCTAGATTCCACTAGTACGGGTAGTTTTAAAACAAATTATTGATTTCTACTTATAAATTTTACATGTGGTCATCCTGCAGGATAGTGGTGACTCTAAACTGTTTAATTTAGCTGCACATATAATATAAAACTGATAGTGCCCATGGATGAAAATTATCATGAAGTTTTTATTTTTTTTTATTTTTTGGGGACATCTACATTTTCCCCACACAATCTTAGTTTGAATAGTTGGACATAGTATATATACTCGAATTACTTTAACTTTCGAGTTACTCAAACATACTATTTCGAATTGACAGAATTGTAAGGATGTTTTAAAACTAATAACTGTACTGGAATACAGAATCTATGTAACATTTCCCCTAATAAAAAAGGTTATTCAGAATCAATGAAGTCACGTTATCATTGTGTTTGATGCACGACGGGGATTGGGAGGGTAGGTAGTATTATTATTTCTTATGAATCTCGTTGTCCTCGAAAGAGAAACGCACTTGGGTATAATGGTTCAAAATAAATCGTTTTTGAACAGGGTTGCCAGTCGAGCAGCATGAATCAATTGAATCAGCAGAACGCAAACGTCTGGTATTCTGATTTCCACTACTCCACAAAGGTGGCGGAGGTGGTGGTGGAGATGATGAGGGATGAGACTAAGCTGTAAATAACCACACATGTACACGAGACGACTAGACTTATATTTATAGAAGTGGCTACTAGTGAAAGGGGACGTTTTTCAAACAGACATCTGGAATAGATGTCATAAGTAATCAGAAATAAGCGCGAGCTGGAAAATGACGGTGAAAGAGCGAAATATAAATATTTAAACATGGGTTACCACGTTTGAAAAAGGCAAGATAGAAAATGGCGAAAGTGGAGACCTTGAACAATGAATAAAATACACACACACGCATTATTGGACGAAAATCGGACAAAAGATAAAATAATCTTTTAACTAGTACTCAAGTACTCTCATTTTTTTAATAATATAATAAAACATTGAAATATATTATAACAAGTGGAAACCAGTACTGGTGATTTCATTATCCCATGGATGTTTGGTGGTCATCCTTCGGATTATCCAGCCCCAGCTCCACCCCCTCCCTCACATAAAACGTGTTGTGCAATGAGAGGTAAGTAACGTATGAGGAAAAACCGTATATTACGGATATAATAATAAATATTATTACATTCACCATGACGAGAAAATGTCTGGTGAAAAGAGCGCAAGTAGAATGTTTTTTCCTCATTCTTGTTTTACGGCGAGTTTTTTGAATTTATTTTTATTGTAGTAACCGTCGTTTGGGCATGTGCCCACCGACTGGTAGCGGGGGAGGACACACGATACGGGTCGGGATCTTGGCACTGCTTGTGTACCGGTAAGATGGAACGGCGTGGGCAGCGAAGGCGACACGATATTTTCATCTATTTTTAGCCGCGTTGAATTGGTTTAAGACACCATCGTCAACACCCGCGTCGTTTACGACACCCCGCATCACCGCTGCTGGAGCCGAATTTATACTATTATTTATCATTATTTTATACACAGCAAAATGTCATGATGAGAAAATTACGTTCGTAGAGTTTAAGTTCGTCCCGATATTATACAGTCGCGTGAACGTCTTCCCAAAAGACATTACGTCGCGCTCCCGGAAAACAACATTAACAATAATAACACGTAATAACGTCGATAAATCAAACGCCTGGTGATCTTACCTCCGGATGGTCCTTAACTGGTACGAAAACTTTTTCGGTGATTGTGACGGGCGCGCCGTCTGGTTCCGGCAACACCAACGGTTCCTTCTTCACACCGTTCACTTCGAACAGGCTGGCCCGGACTTTGGTTATTTCTGTGGACAAAAATTAAATTCCACTGGTTTATAAACAGAATTATCGTATTATAATGTACGATACATTATTTAAAATAAAACACACGGAAAATTGTATCTTTTTACATATTATAGTACCTATAATAATGGTATTAATATGGTTTCGATAAGAATATATATGATACTGTATAAGTGCTTGTCATCGGTTATTTTTTCTATAAACATATTTATTTTACGCGAGTGCACTCTATAGCTTGTAAAAAATATCAACGTTTTCGGCATACAGCAAAACAATATGTATGACAAACGACATAGTTTATTACTTATTTTGAACAATTATAACACTAAAGCATTGGTAATGTAATTCTAAGGCATGTAATATAGTATAACTAGGAAATAAAAAAATTTAATATCATGTTTTTATATTTTTTTATTTGCAGTTTGAGTACAACCGCCTACGCATTACGCAGCCGCCAGGACAATTATTTTAAGCCCACTGTGTCATATAAAAACACGTCAGACACCAATTATTCTTTGTATTTACATAGAAGGGTTGTTCGTTACAGGGTCTAGGGATGAATTATCGTGTCAATAACAGGAGTAATTACAAAAATAATCTCGTAAAAAAAATATCAGATCCTTCAGAACCTCAGAAAAATAAGCCAACAAATATAATCGCCGTCATATTATTTAATAATATTGTGTGTACCGCATATATTAATATATTATACATATAAGATATGCATATCGAGATACAGTTTTTGTCCGAATAAAGCCAGTGCGAAAATATGCTTATTGCAGTAAAAATAATAAAACTAAAATCAACGACATAATATATAGAAAATACTGTTCGTATTCACTATCGTAATGGGAATTGAAAAAAATAATTATACTGTTGACATTACATCTTTGTTTTGTTCAAACCAAATAACGCTAACGAACGTGTTTCGTTCTCGTACAGAACGAGGCATTAAAAATTCACGATAATAGAATAATATAAACGTAATAAAAACTAATAAATAATAATAACACAAARTATAAGTTTTGGATTTGACAGTTTTGGGCGGTGCCCCCGCGACGACCGAGTGGCGCTCCAACAAATGTATGCAATTGCCCAACGTTTTGTTCTTTTCAATTCCGATCAATTAAAGACGGGCACACCAGCGTCGTATTGCAATAATAAGGAAAAAGTACACGCCAAAAGAGCCTGTCGGATCTCGCCAGATCGCTGGCGATGGGCGATGGGCGGTGTAGTGTGTAATATACACAGAAACAATATCATCGCCACACCGCTGACTACAACCCGTGACGACGATCGGGCGCGCGGAAATTATATAATATGATATTATCATGAATAAATCTATTCAAAGGTCGGGCTGGTTTCCTCCGATGACTCGACGTGGAAGAATCGCGCACACAGGCGTGTACAAATTGTTATTTTATTACCATTTAATATTATTATTATGTTTTTAAGGTGTATATTCAAGAAGGAGTAGGAAAACGTCCCACACACCGGACACGAAACTCTCGTGCACACACACCAACACACCCACACGCTACCGGTGTCGACGACGAAATTATTGTAAATCGAAATTGACTGTTTTTTTTTATTATTTTCTGCCATTTGACCAAACAATATAAATATACAATACGAGTTACCTCGCCATTGCTCCACCATGTGAGCCGACGACCGTCTAGGTTCGTAGTAACTGTGTGCCCAGTGTGTGGTACTGTGTATTTATCGAAACATCGGTTGTACGGCGGCTGAGAATCGGGTCCGGGAGGAGATTCCGAACGTATTTATAATGCGAGTAATAAAAACCGGTTGCCTGAGCGGAACAACCAGTGGGAGGGGGACGCGCACATCAAGGTCTCAACAAACAGAACCCTTTACTTTTTTTTCAAACACCAATAACAATAATAAAATAGTAAGTAGAAGAATATCGTATTGTCATTTTTTACATATGCATCGACCACAGGGATGATGGCGAGTGGAAATCTGTGTTCGGTGCGCAGCATAACCTCTACAAGTAACGTATACTGAACAGCATCAAAGAAGCCGATCGTTTTCAAACGGAATAATATAATAATATTATATTAAAGAAACCATAAACCTGCTATTGCAGTACCGCGGTCACCGCAGTTGCATAGTGCAACTAGTCGATCGAGGAACGGATTTAAAAACAAAACTGTACACAATATTATAAATTGGTACCATCTGTTGTGCGGTGGAACACTTTCAGCGTATGAAGAGCAGACTTTCACAAAAAAAAAATAATTTTGTCTGACGTTATATAGTAGGTACTAGTAGCCAATATGTGAGTTGTTTGTGGGTACGTGCGTTGCTCCACACGGTTGATAATATTTTATTGATGCAAAATGGATTATCATGACTAAAACCTAAAGTTATAGATGAACGTTATTAAATCCGAAAGCTGCCGCGTTCTAAAACAAACGCTGTCGAGTAATCATCGTGTGTAGAATGTGTAGGTACAACTATTCTAACCAAAAGTTATAATAGTAAATTAGTAACGAAAATAGATGCATACGTCTAAAAATCGTACGCGACTCATTTAAGAACACGTTTGTAATGCACTTTATGTGAAGTTTTGCTTTCTGCATTTAAAAATGTCCTCTGAAAACTTAAACAAGTGCCAACAAAAAAAAAACAGAGAGCGCGTTCGGTTCTCATTAAAAGATTATTTTAAGTGTTATTAATACTATATTTTAAGCGTTAATATTTTCATTTCCTCTAAATCATAGCAGTTCTAATATTGTAAATATTATACTATTGTATATATAGCACACGGGATGCACCATCATGAGGTTTCCGTGCTTTGTCTACCCGACGAAAACATATGTGTAATGTTTAAACCATGTTACCACGTATTCTCTATATGGTGGTTGAATCATTTATTATTGTTATTTATATACCTACTATATACATAGTACGTGTACATAATATAATACGAAACGAACAAAATGTACAGTATCGTCGCAGTTCAGTGGTTCTCAAAAGGGCGGAATCGTCGTGAAGGGTCAATGTCGAGTCGGGAAGATGGGAACGAATAACTTACAGGTATCGTAATAAGTATACAAACGAACATATTATTATTATGTGTAGTGTGTGCGGCTAATACCTACCATCCCGTTGCCTATTTTGTAAAACCATTTCTCTAGTCAGTGGAGGGGATTACGACCGTTAAAACAATACACAGTTCCGCCGACTCGAGAAGTCGACGAGTGTGACATGTTCATCTATATAAAATATCGTTTTCACATTGTTCTCAGTCGCGCGATGTGTCTCGAATTACCAATCTCGTCGATGCCGCTGCCGCCTTTCTTTCTTTTCGCCCGCCAAGGCTACAACGCGCACATATTACACGATGCATACATACATACATACATACATACATACATACATACATATAGTACATACATACATACATACATACATGCATACTCGCATACATGTATACACAAATACGCACGTGTAAGCTATTGTCGTAGTTATTATTTATCAAATTGTTATTATATTGTCATTAATAATAATATAAAATACTAATGGACGTTAATTATTTATAGGGTAGTACGGGTATTTGCACATGTTGAAAAATTAAGCAACCCCCATCATCGGGGTGGTATTAATAATAATGAATTTATTTAATAATTTACTGCAAATGCGGGCGTTAACCAAAAACTTGTTATTTTTGTAACAGGGTACATTATTATTACGAGCGCGARGAGCGAGTGYTTACGAGTGTTTTTTTCAACCTTCGATGCGTTGGTATATACACCGCAGTCCTTTGAAGGGGAGAAAACACACACGCATGCAGACGCCAGGTCCAAGAATAGATGCGATGCACTTGGCATCTGCTATGACGCCATTTTGACTTTTTCAACACACTCTTTATTTATAAACGGACGACGAATCCCCTCGGTACATAGTATTTTTTTTTCAACGAAATATAAAAACAAAATTGTTCTTTCAGAAACGACAATATTTATCGAGCATGAAACCGCTCCGCGTATATCAGAAAAAGCCTTGAGGGTTTATCGCGATTTAACAAGACGTTCGGACGGCGATGGCGGTCGAAGGACTGCGCATAAAAAATCGTAATAATCAACTAACATATGGTCTATTGGTGTTTCGCTGCTACTGCTGTTATTGCTTGGACAAATATCACAAATGGCGGAATACAATTATTTTTAAATTAAATTAACAATTACGGCAGAGTTCAATTACAAAAACATATGTACAAATTGGTTTTAAACGACAATCAACATTGCCCCCCCCCCGCACCCAAGGCCATGAGTTACCAGAAATTGATTTTCCATCCGTACACGATGGTAATATATTTAAGCGCTACACGTGTAATGACTATTGACAAATTCATATGAATCCTACTAATGATTCTTCAGTCGTTGAAACGAATGACATAGATCTTATGTTGTACTTATAATGCCCGTTAATAATGCTGGAGTAAACGTTTTACACAGAAATTATATTTTCATTTAAAACAACGAAAATTGTTTGACACATAATAGTATAATAGATACGACAGTGAAAATTGAATATATATATATATTATAACGATTACATTATATTATATTATATTTACGAGTTACGAGTTTACGACTATGAAATTCTACCGTAAAACGTSTTAGAAGAGAAACAATAAGTGAAACAATAAGTTTATAACATATACAATAGTTTGTAATATATATTTTTCATATATTTATGTATAATAAATATTAATACTAACAATTATTACAAAGCCAAATAAAGGTACATCATTGTCATTGGAACAAAAAATATTATTAATCACATGGTTTTTTAACCGATTTTTAATGGGAAAATCACGTGATTGCGTTATAAACTGTACAAATAAAAAAACACGAATCAATAAAAATTTGTTACTACATTTACTTTGACCTATTTATTGAAAATTGTACTTATATGACCCATTTAAAAAACTTTATGTAAATTAATTATTGCACACTATTATACACGTATATAG